GTGGAACCTGGTAGTTCGAACCCTGGTGTGGCGAAGTCATGGTTGTGTACTTCTGAGGAGTCCTATACTAGGACGGGACAGGTTTCCGATGATTATCCAACTAATGTCAGCCCGTAATGAATATCAATCTGAAATTTTGAGTTACTCATTGAAATAATAATTAGAGAAATTAAAATGCAAAATAGGTTCTGAAACGGGAGAATAAAACGACATAGAAGGGATTTTATCTGAGAGAATGCACAACAATTGACAAGAAAGATAAAGTTTTTTTGTCAAGAATAGTGATAATTATGTGAAAATAGATAGACAGGAAATAAGAATATATGGAAATGCTAGTTGAATAGTAGAAGACGTCATCTGTAAAAAGTTTATGCTCATTGTTTAGAAAAGTAGGAAGTTATTTAGGTTTATTATTATTATTTGTCTTTCGGGTTCCTAGTGGAACATAGGGCTTCAGCAGCATATCTCTATTTCACTCTCTTCTCTGCAGTCTTTCCAACCTGGCTCCACCACTGTCCAGAAGCTTTCATTTCTTCCTCACACCATCTCCTCCATGTCACCCGCAGCTGGGATGCTCAACTCATCGTTTTCCATGCGGGTTCCACTCGAGGGCCCGGCCTGACGCGTGGTGTCTCCAAATGATATTCTCAGTGTGTGCCCAATCCATCTCCACTTTCTTCTTCCCCATATTTGTTGGGCGATAGGTTCTTGGTCGGTTTGTTGCCAGAGTGAATTCCTTGTTGCTTATTCTTTCTGGCCATGTGATCTTCAGTAACGAGTGAGCAAGCGTAGGCACCAGCTGTTGATGTGATGTATGTCTGTAGTTTGTTGGAAATGCTTTTCGTAAGGCGCCAAGTCTCTCAACTGTCACACAGAAGCACTGACTGAAATGATTGACATTAGTGTTGAAAATCGGGATCTTGTTCACGCTTTATGCTGAGTGCAGTAGATCTCCACACTGATTTCAAGGTAATGAATGCCTGTCCTGCTTGCTATTCCGATCCTGGCTTTGACATCCTCATCTGTGTCGCCTGTGGTTGAAACGATGCTGCCCTGTCTAGATAGGTGAGAGATTACTTCATTATATAGGTAAGTTTTTATATAATCCCAGCGTGTTTAAAAAATCGAAAACAAGATTTTTCTGAACGTTTCGCTGTGTATGCTACAGCTTCTTCAACAGAATATTCGGATTTTATTTAACATCAAAAGGTACATGTAGAAATTTCTGTCTTTATGTAATTGGTTAGCTGTTTTGTTGTTCAGACTGATTGTTTCCAGTTAGTCATCATAAACTCATACAGTCTTTGTCATCTGTCATCAATAATCAAAGTGCATGTATGTGTATGTGTGTTAACTTTTTATGGAGAATATCATTCCTTGTTTATAAATGAAAAACATGTTTGTATATCCACAATAATTGATGCATGTTGTTTTTGGTAGGCTCTAATTGAAAAAAAGTTAACACACATACATGCACTTTTGATTATTGAATCCATCTCCGATGATAGATGACAAAGACTGTATGAGTTTATGATGACTAACTGGAAACAATCAGTCTGAACAACAAAACAGCTAACCAATTACATAAAGACAGAAATTTCTACATGTACCTTTTGATGTTAAATAAAATCCGAATATTCTGCTGAAGAAGCTGTAGAATACACAGCGAAACGTTCAGAAAAATCTTGTTTTCGATTTTTTAAACACGCTGGGATTATATAAAAACTTACCTATATAATAAATCAACCTGACTCGGCGCTCAACATCTTTCAGGACATTCGTAAAAACTATGGCCTGGATGTTTATAAAGAGAGATTACTTCCTTTAGGTTTCTCACATTGATGGTGATTGATGCTAGTTGTTATTGGTTGGGTATCTTCATCACCTCTGTCTTCTCTACATTCACTTAAAGTCCCGTCTTTGCTGCTTTTTCTGTCAACTTATTAGTTTTCGCCTGTAGATGTTGGAGTTTGTGCGACAAGACATGAGACATTAATCATCATCGTTGGCGAAATCCAAATCTTTTAGAGTCTTTTCATCGGTCAAACAGCGTATGCCCCTCTTCTCGCTCCTCATGGTTTGCTGCAAGATCCAGTCGACCACAATCAGGAAGATCATGGGTGATAGTAGGTAGCCGTGTCTTACTCCTATCTTCACTTCAAAGGTACCACTAAGTAGCTTCCCATTGTGAATCACCTGGCATGTAGTGTCGTCACATAGCTGTTGAATGAGGCTGATAAAGGTTCGTAGTATCCCGTAGTGTTGAAACAGCTGCCTACCAAATATACTTCTCGATCGACGCTGTCGAAGGTCTTTTCAAAGTGGATGAAGTTGAGGTAATTTAGAGTTGACTGGCATTCTATTCTCTGCTCTATGATGAGATGACGCGTAGAGTAGTGTTGCGATTTGATCTGCATATGATTTGTTCTTCCTGAGGCCGGCTAGCATGTTCCGGTCGTAATTTTGAATGCAGAGCATTTTTAGTCTCTCCAGGATTACGCGGCTTAATATTTTGCTTGAGGTGGACAGGACTATGATTTCTCGCCAGTTCTTGCAAACATTTAGGTCGCCCTTGTTTGGGAGTTTGACAAGGTAGCCCTTCTTCCAATCGCCAGGTATCTTTCCTTCCTCCCAAACCTTCTGCAACAGTGGTGTGGTATGAGCATGTCCGCTGCTGATGTCTCTGTGTCTGTTTTCAGTGGTTCTGGTGGAATTCCATCTGGTCCTGCTGGTTTCCCGGATTTCATCAACTTTATGGCGTGACGTTCAGGACTTCTGCTTTTGTCGGAGGGTTTGTGTACACTGGTAGTTCTGTGGCTGGGCTGCTGGTGGTATTTGTGGCCGAGATGTAGGTTGTGGTCGTGGTCGATTCAAGAGTTTCTTGAAGTGGTCAGCCCATCGTTTCCTTTATTTCTCCTCTCTTACGTTTCCCTCACTATCTTTCATTGGTTTTATCTGCGTTGATCTCTTCCCTCCCAGATAGACAGTGACCTGGTTATTTGATATAGTGTTGTCAGGTCCCTGTCTCTCCTACCTGCAGCCTGTTCTGCTTAAGTTGTCAATGTGTCGTAGAAGTGTTTTTGTGTTTGCGCTCACTCCTCACTTCATTGTCCAGTGTAGTGCTGCATAGGTTGTGTTCAGTTCCCCTTTTCGTTGTTCATCCCTGTACTAGACTGGTTCATTTTCTGCTTCCCCACCTTCTTCTCCCTGCTGTACCAGCTTCCATGTATGTGTAGAGACCTACTGCTTGTCTCGTCTCGTCTCGCTTCTTCTTCCTCCCTGAGACGGTTGTGCAGGTTTCCTTGCACATCTCTCTCACAGAGTTCTAGTGTTCTTCCACGTGGATTTCTTCAGGTATGTTCCTTAATGTGTGCGATTGTTTCCTGAAGACTGACGACATGAAGATGTCGTTTGTAGTTTCGTCCTTCAGTTCAGTTTCGATTCTGGGTGTTTGACTTGAAGTGTGGTCTATCATCACGAACTTCTTTGAAGTCTTTCAACTTGGTTTTGCAGGTAGGTTCGTTTCACTAGATGGTGAATAGTATGAACCTACATCTGCTTTGCTTGTTGATGTGATCTTGTGTCCAGTAGATTGTGTGTGTCTCCACTTTCTTGATATTGAGATGAAGTTGATGTGATTGATATTTAGTGTAGTGTGTCCAATCTGTTGAATGGTGAAATGAAATCCATGTGGCTTTGTGAGTGACCTTGTGTTTGTACACACAGATTTTCTGAATTAAAAATATAGATTATAGGGAAGTGGGTATGTGTGTTACGCAATCGTTTAAAAGGTATGCGGCAAATAATTTTAAACACCTTGCTAGTATCCGTTGGATCACCAGTTTTTACAAGATGTGGAAACATAGTGTTTGTTACTGTTCCTAACCCCCCTTTTGTTGGTCTGAATCTATGATGCTGAGAATTTTTTTGATGTACCATGTAACTAGCTCCACAAGGATGGTTGAACCAGTAATTGGTGATAGAGGAGACAGAATCCCATAGCCTGTCTTCATCTCCTGTAATGGTTTTTAGTTCGGGTTGTAACTGATACCATTGCCAGTCAGTGAGTTACACGTACTCTTGAACCCCATTCAGTTATATTATTGGCGTTTTGCACTATTCAGCGTTTTTATTCTCCACACTTCCAGTATGCGCGCTAGCTTACACTTTTATGCCTTATGGTTGATTCGTATAATAGGAATTAGATGCTAGGTATTTAGAATATTTTAACTGGCAACTGTCAGTAATTATCATTAAAATGTAATGTTTATATACTCATGAAGTAATTAATACGATTAATCTGTACAGTATCAGGGTGTTCAGTGGCTTAGTAATTGAAGTAAACGCCAGTGTTCCCCTACCCCCTGATCGTTCGCTCGACATATGAGGGGGGAATATTAAAGATCATATACTCATTATTGATGACAATATTCAGTAAAAACATGCGTGTATTATCAGTTCAGTTGAATATGGATTTTGGAAAGAAATCAATAACTTTCAGAACTTCTTTATACAATGACCATTATTTTCTATTGTTAACTTTTCTCTAAGCTACAGTCTTAGCTTTGAGAACAACTCTTGTTATTAACATGCAATCCTTTGACCAATATGTTTTACGCTGAACAAAACGAACTCTCTTCACCTTTGTTTTCCAACTATTTGACTGATATCGATCTACCGTAGTAGTTTTTTTTATGAGATAATCTCACACCCTCCAGTGACCAATCAGTGTACCTAATCCAATCCAGATCAATAGCAGCCTGAATAGCTCAGTGGTAACGTTGTTGATTGCAACACTGGGTTGCGCGAGTTCAAATCTTAGGTGGAACATCATTCCCGTCAAGGTTTCAGATATGCCTTGCTGATGAGTGCCGAAAAGCCACAAAAACATATGTCTAGCTAGGTTTCCTGCTGATTACCTCCATCCAACTAACGTAATCTTAAACTTCTTTCCTTTTTTGTACATTATTCTAACTGTTTTCTTTCTGTTTCTAAACAAGGGTTTTGTGCCAAGACTAATTGGAGAAATCATCTTAACATCAGCTTACTATTGTTGCTGTCGACTTGTTCGATCGTTAATATTTGGTTTAGGACGTCATTCTGCCGAGAATATGAGCATTTTGAGAGTGTTGTTATATTACACATTGCATAATTATACTTATCCATTTGAAGTAAGTTAGCTCATTTCTTTCTTTTTTCTGTCTAGTGTGAATTAACTTTGATCTATCGGTCAAGATTTTTTTAAAAAAATCTATGTTCTTTAGAACTTTAGCAAAGAATGTAAGTTTTCCCTACAACTTCTATTGGCCTCTTGTCTGGTCGTACAAATGTATTCACAATGCAGTTCACAACTTTAAACAGTAGCACTTGAGTTTCCACATAAATTCAGTTGATTACCACCTGTTTTATTCGTTACAAGGTTGTTCACTAGATCAGTGAGTTAAGATGGCCAACTCATTGTGAAAATGGTAGTATATACTAGTAGTGTCGTTAAACAGTTAATTAGTTAACTACTTAGTAGCAACACTGGATCCTGGCATTACTGAGTAACGGTTCAATTTTCCACCCCTCCTATCAATACTTCAATGTAGAAGGGGTCAAGGTGGAAGAGAAATAAAAGATAACGTAATCAGAAGTGGTGGAAATTTATAGAAAGAGAACAATAAGCAATAAAGCTGTAATGAAATTCGGGATGCCACTTAAGATGATTATGATGATGTCTGAATGAAACTTCTCTATATTGAGATTAGTCCTGAGTCATGTTGAGCAGAGTCTCCAATCAACGATTTCATTTGTCACGCAGATCCCTACCAGAAACTCTGCTTTTGCCTGGATAGTTCAAACAAAAAGTCAGAGACTTTATGAACTGACACCATGTTTCCGTCCGATAACTCCTTAACTTGTTTTGTTGGCTAATCCTAATTCTTCCAAAATTGCGCAACAGAGTAGAGGGTGGCTATACATGTATATTACTTGTGCTATGCATCTCAGTTGTTGAAGGTTCACAATCGCATCCACTCACCTACCCCTTTTATCTGAAACTCCACACCTAACTTTTGCATTACTAACGTGATAGATCCACGGCACAACCTATTCTATGAAAGCAACAGTAATAGAACATTTGAGACCTTCTCATGTCCTCCATTTTTAGTAGTCATGTTTCATAGCCACATAGTAGACTACTATGAACTGCAGGGACTGTAGATAGAATAAGTTGGTGAAACCTAATCGAGCTTTTCGGACCTGTGGCGAGACTTCATCGACCACTGAATCCATAGGGCTGATCCGACATCCCAGGTAAGTGAAGTGGTTAGCGTACTCAACCACTTTACCCCCCCCCCCCTCCATTGTTAAACAAGGTACCGACGAAAACTAGTTGTCGAGCAATAATTCTCAGTTGGGTGCTGAGAAACGCATCCCAAACATCCTCGAATTACCACTGAAGGTATCGAGAAGACTCCCTCCTGTCAGCATTTCCGACTACCATGGCTATGTTATCTACATATTCTAGGGCTCCCAACGAGCTTCCTGTAACAACTTCAATCCCCGTAACATTAGACGAGGACAGGGTGACCTCCATAAGCATGTTTGTAACAAATGAAGAACGTGAATATTATTTATGTAGACCACTGAAAGTGCGCAACTCATTATATATCTTATCATAGGCTCTGATACGTCCACAGGTATTCAAATACAGAGCTGTCAATATAGTGTTGTACTCACCTGTTATCCCTTTTAGTAAGAAACACTATCATAAGACCTCTCAACCGACGGAGTCGAATGCCGTCTTCGTGTTAAGATAGCCAGCTTGTGTCGGGTGACATTGGGTGTATCTGTGTCCGAAGAACTAACGAAGCCTGAAGATCTAGGTGAATACACCCAAGATCAGGTCTAAAACCTATCGACTTCCGTCAGGCTTACTGTTCTTGAGCTTAGCTTAAGGGTTTACTGATTATAGAACCTAGAATCCTAGATGCTACATTCGTTGGATTAACTCTTTGGTCTTTACAGTGGGGTTTGTCACATTTTCTGAAAACTGGGGCAATCAACATTTGAAACCACTTTGTGATCATTTCTGGTTCCAATACACCGGTCTTCACTCTAGTTATTCTAACCAATATGTTTTACCCATCTTGTACGAAGATTGTGCCTCAGCAATAATTGTAATAATTTTCCATCATTGTTCCTACATACCTCTGGTTCTAATCCACCGAAGCCTGCTAACCTTCTTCGTTTCAAGTTTTTTAGAGTCTTCCTAACCTCGATGATAGTTGGATAACCTATACCTGTTCCATTTGGGACCCGACTGGCTAAAGGGTACCCAAAGACTAGCCGTATTCCAGTTGTTCTGTTCCTCGAAATATTCCATCTTTCTTTCGGCCCATATCCCCTATGGGTAAAACTGAGTAGTAGTGGTGTGACAGTTTAGACCGTTACGTAGTAAAGTCCTTCTCCGAAATCGATACTATTTATCTTCCCCTTGTGATGATAGTCAGTGATTGTGGCAACCAAGAGACATCTACTTGAGATTGGTTACACATGGCCTTTTTGGGAATGTGATTCTCGTGAAATCAGCTGGAAGACCGTACCATCGGTACTAGAAAACCTCAGGGTAGAGGACGGGGTTTATTTTTGTGCCCAAACTATTTAAAACTTTTTCTCAGTAAAAATAGCATCAGCATAGATTGCTAATCATCCACGGAAAACACTTCACTGCCTTCACCCCCATTCTATCAGCAGTACTATTGTACTCTCATCACAGCGCAGCTATTTACTCTAGAACGGTAACCGCTTTTATTCTTACCAGTATCCAATAGACTTATCTGGTGTAATAGAACTTGAAGGAACAAACGTTTTCATCAACATAACTATTTGGTTCATTGTGACATGCTGGCCCTAGCATCACATCAAGGTTGCAGTTATCTGTTGAATTCACCATGAGGTTACGGAATAGCATTCAGATTTTAGTTGATTAGTGCACAGTTATATTTAGCTGACAGGTTCCGAATAGGATACAAGTAGCCTCTTGAGTTAAACTACTTACCAATAGCGAATAGTTCTCATTAGTCTGTACCTTTGGCTCTTAACCAGTGGGTTACGGTCACGAACTGCACTCCACCAACGCTTGCACAATCGATACACAATAGTGTGCAAACTTGTACATGTTTGGTGAGTTATAAGTACCGAGAGAGACGCCCGTTGTCTTCTCTGGTCATATAATGGTGGTTGCTGAGTTGGATTACTTTTTTATTTTTCATCACGATCTGATATCATTTGGAGAATTAATAAAAGACGTAAGAAATGTGGACATCTGTTTCATTATCCAGCAGTTAATACCTTCAATCACCAACGGGATCGTAAAAAAAAGATTGAAGGTTTTGTCTGGAGTATGTAGCAGTTGAATTAGTGGGTTTTAGTTTAGTGAGCTTAGTTTTCCAATCTCCGAGAGTTCATGATACAATTTGCTGGAGGTTCGATATGAACCACTTCATAATTAAACAACATTAATTACCAGACAGTGAATAGTGAATCAGCTCTTGTCATCCTTCGGTTGTGGAGATCGTTAATTGTGAATGGAATGATTTACTACTCATTTACAGTAGTTTACCATCAGATTACAAGTTTTACACTTAGAAATAACGTATTCAAATAGATACTAGCCAGTAGCAAGATGCCAAAACATACGTGCAGTGCAAGCGAATTCAAAAACTGTTTAAATTACTACAGAGCATTTTAGTGCAGAGATACAATTCAAAATTGGAGATAATAAAACTCGCAACGAATATGGTTAATTTTATGTTGCTACCTGTATATTATCCTGTCGCTGATTGGACCGAATTGATCAATCTCAATTGTCATATGGGCTCCTGTGTCTGAGCCTCGATATTATCTGTGTTTCTGTTTTATATTAATGATGGATAGTGGTGAGTAGTGGAATTCAAGACGCGTGTTTCGTTCTATGCGACACTCGTCAGCTGGATGTACTTACCTACCAGTGGAGAGATGTTGTTCCCACTAATACCAGCATAGAAACTATACTTGTCGCACAAGAAGTAGCTATCGTGACTTGGTGATCTACTGGAAAACGCTGTGGTGTTTGAAGCGATCGATCTCGGGTTTGCGTCCTAGTTGGAACAACATCGCTCACTGAGAGGCAGGCACGTCCAGCTGACTAGTCCCGAATAGGACGGAACGTGCGTCGTGGATTCCACTGTTAGCCACTATCTTTTGTTGATACAAGGTACAGTTAAGTTCTTAATGTGTATGGTTAGCAAAGTATGCTTGCCCAAGGTATGTACAGAATACACACTATACTAAATGAGAATATTCCTATGTTGGTTATTAGGATAAATCACATCAAGAAGTCTTTTACTTTAGGGTGGCTAACTGTTAAATCCATCATATTTGAAGCTGGTCAACTGGATATACGGGCATCTCATTGAGTGATAGTGCTCTTGCTGAGATCCGAATCTAGCGCCCTGTCACTTCAACCACCAGACGCTATACATTAGGCTATTAAGTCAAGAGAACCACTTATTGTTAAGTGGACATCAGTTGCTATTTATTTATGCGTTTAGTTTGTTGTTGTTTATTTTACTGGACTAGATGAATCATTAGAAGAATGCCTAACGTGTTACACAGAATGATAAAATAAAGTAACAAGGTTATAAAATAAAAGATGAACAAGCAAAGGAAAATTGATCAAAGGAAGTAGAAGTAGAAAGTGGTGAAAGAGAGGAAGAAAGATTGAGAAAATGGTGAGATGAATTATAGCGGTTAAGATGACGATAGTGTGTGTATGCATTTGCGCCACTGAAATCTGTTCTCAGCCATATCACATAAAGTCTCTAAACACTCGTTTCTCTTGTCCCGTGGACCCTAAACGGCTAATCTGCATCGCGCCACATGACTCAAACAAACAGTCATGGACTTCATACACTGATGCCGTGTTTTAGTCTGACCACTCCAAGCCTTTTTCCCGCCTGGACCTACTTCGGCCAACATTGTGTGATGAGGCAGACGGTGGCTAGGCATATGTAACACATCCTAGCCATTTCAGTTGGTGAAGATTCACAACCGCATCAACTATCTTACCTCTCCTGCCTAAAACTCTACACCTGACTTCTGCGTTGCTCACGTGGTGACACCACGAAACATAGCCTATACTACGAAGGCAACGGTGGTCAGACATCTGAAGCCTCATATCTTCTTCCTTTATTGAGCGTGTTTCTGTTGTGAGGCCCTAGTTTTGCAGAAAACATTGTTATTGATCTGAACATTTTTATCTTGGCATTCTCACACCATTTTCACGGTATGACTTGTAGTTTATTTTCTGCCCCCATTGTAATGTAATTCGCTGACTGGTTAATCTTTACTCTTACCATGGCAATGTCTCAAATTGTGGACAAGGTCATTTTTCATGTGTGTACTTATTCACGTGTTTTGGGATTGATTATTATTACAGTCTCGGAGAGACAAACTCTCCCATCATCCATCATCCCTTTTCGTTCTTTCGACCCCAATACACGTTTCTACACGTCCATCGTGTCTTCTCCACTAATTAGCCGGGTCGGGAATCAACTAGTTATTTGTTGAATATTGGCGACTGACAGTCAATATCCGTGCATCGTTAGCGGTCATAGCACATAGCATCCTCCAAATCATAACAGTTTCATAGTCATAGAGTAGAACGGAACGAACTACAACACAGTACACTTGGCCCTTGATACACAATCGGATATCGTGTCATCGCCGTAGATTGCGTAAGTTGGTGAAAGCCAACCGAACGTTTTGTATTCGTACAGAGATTCCGTTGACCACTGACCCACCGTGGCTGACCCGACTTTACAGGCAGGTGAAGTGTTCAACACTTTCAACCACTTCACTCTATTATTAGCTAGAGTACTGTTGAAGACCAGTTCTGGAGCAACAATTTGCATTTGGGTGGCGAGAAATGCATCCCAAATCTCAAATTGTCACTCAGTGTGTCCAGAAGACTGCATTTTTTAAATCAACGTTTTTGCCTATCAGGACTTTCATGTGCGTATTCTAGGTTTACCGAAAATCCTCCTGTGATCAGGTCATTCGTTGTGTGGTCAGGAGACGATAGGGATACCTTCATAAGAACATCGGCTTACATTGGTCTATAGTTGGTTCGTATTGAGTATATCTTGCTGAAGGCTTGGTGAATTCTGTCGATCATAATACGTTGATTCGCATTTGAGGTTGATTGTCACCTAGGATTTCATATAATCCTCTATCTGGAAGTCAATCAGCATACTTGATGAATTCCTGTAGAATGTCAGTTGTCGGCAAAATAGCTTATTGATAACTTCTCTAACCTGTGATGATCAGTAACACGCGCGAGGTCGGTGATCAGACCTCAGTTCTTCTTAAGCTACTGGCAGAAGTGCACCTTCGATCCAAGATTTCTCACCGATCGCCATCAACCACCCAAAGTCATTCCTGACTGTATAAAGTAATCGAGTGATTGTGTTCCGTAAATGTTCACTTCATGTTTCTAGACTCGTTCATTCCACCCCTAATTTGTATTCCCATTTATACATATCCAGTGTAAATATGTGAATATTTATTGTTGTTAGCTATTCAATCACAAGGTAGTTTGTGTGTGTGTGGCCACAGTACCCAGGAACCGGAGGACGAATGTTATGGAGAAAGGAAAAGTGATCTGCGATAACTGTCAATGATTTTTGGTTTGGTGACTAATCTCTAGTATACTATCATGGAATGATTGATGAAAGAACACTTGTCTTAATAAAGTTAAGTTTTTGATGATATACAGCGAAGAAACGAAAAAAAACTGATGGATCAGTCACAAAACTGTCCGCACACTTCGTGTGTTTTTCACTATCAATTTAAGAAACGTAGTACAGAAAACGCAGGCTCGAAGTTTTCCAAGTAAACGTGTTTTAATCTTTCAGAATGAAAGTACATTATCATCGAAAAGAAGATTGTTTCTTCGTCAATGCATCAGCGATAAATCTTAACACTTCGACAAGAAATATGACCATAGTCTCTCAATTTACGCGATTCATGTGTCAATGTGTTTATCTGTTTTCTTTTTCATAAACTACACACAATAAACTTATTGCTGACTAGAGGTTGACGCCTCTTTAATATATGTATAATTTATACTGGCTGATGATTGAAGGTGAAATGAAAATTTAGACCGTGGCCGAGTTCGAATCAGGGACCACCAAGTTTCCTACCCAACGCTCTACCAACTGATCTCCCCCTCTCTATTTCTAGTAGATTCGGATTGGAAGGAGAAGCTTTGATTGGGCAGCCAGTGTAAGTACTATCAAGTGGTAGTAATGCGTTATGAATCACACAGCAGTCAGGCAAAGCCCTTGGTTATTAAAGTGAAATAAAAATCTGGTCAGCGATAGGGTCTCGTAGTTCAGTTGGTACAGCATCGGGCAAGAAAAACGATGGTCTCTGGTTCAAGTCCGGCTGGTGTCCAAATTTTTATTTCACCTTCAATCATCACCCAGTATGAATACTAGTCTGCCAAATCACGGCTTTCTTAGATAGTCGAAACGGTAATCAATATTTATAATTGTTTATTTTACATTTTCAACAGTTAACTGGGTGTGTAATGGCTGTTCATGGGGCTAAACTTGTCGGTGCTGCTGAGGCTAATTCTTTCCATAATTGGTATGAATGTAAATGTTATCTTGGTCTCAACAATCAAATGATTCGAGGTTGGCGCCCATTTTTACGAAGTCATGTACAAAAGATTCATTTACCGGAAAAACAGTTGGAAAACCCTTCTTATCTATATCTTGATCAACTAAATACTACTTAGAGATCATCAGATTTTTGTAGACAGAAACGGTTACATTTCGACTGTATCTGCCTAAAAGAGAGAATTCCCCTTGCAGATTTTGTTCTTACTCTCTAGTTTGTATCCATTTCTGTAACAAATTCTGTACAGTTTCTACCTCTGTCCAATACTTATAGCTGTGATTAGTTTTATCTGAGATAGCTTCATCTTTTTTTCCTGTCTTTGTGTTGTAAATCTAGTTAGGCAAACACAATTAGGTGTCTTTCACTCTTAATGTTGTGATTCGGTAGTCTAGTGGACAACGCTTTGGCATCTGAAGCAATCGGTCCCGAGCTCGAGTCCTAGCGGGGGTAACATCGCTTACTCGGGTCCAGGTACATCCAGTTACAGAGTCCCAGACAAGACGAAGCACGCATCCTGGATTCCACTGTTACCTGTTGTCCATCGTTAATATATCTTTCACTTTTGTTTCATTGTTCTAGTGTTGTGACAGTATGGCACTTCGCACAGTGTGTTGCAAAGTTGGGGTAAGGGGTACAAAAGGGCTCATGAGGACAGTAGTTACTGCGGGATGATTGCGCTTAAATACACCAATAAGAGGTTGCCCTGACTAAAGTATCTTACCGTTTGGAGGAAAGATAAGTGGGCATCTTTCCAGAAAACAGAGAAATGGCTTGAAGAATAGTTGTGAGGCGCAGTTCGTTGGAACCTTCTGATTATATCACTGATGTATAGTGTTTTCAGTGATGACATGGATAGGAAAACTCATAAGATATGGGTAAATTGGATGACGGCCACAGATTTATGTATTTGAATTATTCAGGATCTTTAAGTCCGGTCATGTTATTTGAAGTGGATGACATAATGGTACGAAGTTTGCTGGAAATAAGTAACTCCTTGCATTTATATCTTCATAACATTGCTGAACGGAAGTGGATGGAAGGCATTCCGTAACTCGTTACTTTGTATGTTTCCTTGAAATGAAGATACGCAGCACCAAATGATCCTCCAAAATCAATAGCATAAGTCTCGGTGGGACTCAACATTGAGGCTGACCTTCATAGTTTTGACGGACTCGTCAGGCTGAAAGTCACGCCGTTTGGTGCGTTGTGTTGCGTTGCTCGTGCGTGATCGTCTTGTTAGCTAGGTGGAACCCATCAGTACTTTACCACAGTCTATCAAATATCCCATCACACTTGGCTACTCCATCCTACTTTTTCTTGGTCTCTCAGTCGACGGCACACTAAAAGTACGAATAGTTAATGACTGGCCTCTGAGCTCATCAAGATCGATTCCTAAAGACAAAACTTCTTTAGGAAAGACTGAGTAGTGAGGGAAGGTTTCACTTATTCCACACACAGTGGTCGCACTCACGTTGAATGCAGCTGAGTATGTTTTTGTAGGATAACTAGTTTCGTGCCGGGTTTACGATGGTTTTTCAACGCTGCCATGTTAGATTACATAAAAGCGCCATTCGGTCACAGATGTGTTGAGTTACGTCAACTTAGCTGTGATGTTATGGTGAAGACTGGGGTCGCGATGTACTCATGTGGCGCCGTAGTTAATCAGGTGCTCTGGGACGCTTGGTAATAGGTTAAAATATTCTCCAGGCAAGCGCAAAGTACCTGGATGAACCAACTCTACAGCACGGTTACCAATGTGTTTCATGATAACCAAACGTATATCAAGATGGACGTGTGGCAATTTATTTCGCCGTTTGCCACCACTTTTTACCGCCTTCAGTGGAGCTTTTAGTTACCCATGAGACCTTTCAGCGATACCAATGAGACGAAATCCACTGACCAGCCTTGTGCAAATTCGTGGGGTAGATCGTGAGCCACATCCGCTGTGTGAGGGCATGTGATACTACCTGGGCGCCCAAACCTCCGCAGGTGCAGTGTGGTTCTAACCCGTGACGCGGTGGCCCTAAGTCATCTTTCTAAACTAACGGGTAGCAACTCCACTCAGTACCTCTGGATGTAGGATGGTAGGTTGGTTCCAAAACGTTCGGTTTCTTGCTGAAGTAGGCAACTCTCGAATTATGTACCTGTCTGTAGTAGTGATACTTTGGACAACAAATTCATAAATCCAGCATTAGACTGTATCTTGCGCTGCAGATACATCTCCACTGGCAGATACATCATGCAGGCGCACTGCTTCTGGACACCTCGTAAGTCTGTCTGTGCATGTTAAAACACATTTGAAGCCATTTAGTGGGAGTGTAACGGAAAAATGATCTGAAAATCCCTCCTGATCACACCATTTGGTTGCATTGACATTTGTTTTAATATTTTTACCCTCGTTATGGATGGTGTACCTTTGACCTAGCCGGTGTAAGGTTATCTGGTTGTTTGACTGACTTCTTTGACTTTCTACCCAGTATTTGCCTTTGTGTGATTGAGACTTATCATGATGTTTCACTTTCCCATTGTGTGACGCCGGACTATTGACAAGGTGATTTTGTTTTACTGCACCCGACATTTTGTTTTGGTTCAACTTACGGTTGTGCTGTGATTTGACTGTGTCTTTTGAATGTCTACTGGAAACGTTTATCTGTTGATTTGATTCTGGTAGACAGAGTTTTGATCTCTTTTGTCGGGAATATTCTCATTGACTGTCAGGCACTTAACAGTTGTATTTATTTAACCAGTTTTTACCGTGTAGTACGTAGTTGCACCGAGAACGTTTTGAACTGCATAGTTACCCAACGGCACTGTTGAGGTATTTTGTAATTCTGATAAAACCTAACGTTGCTATGACAGCACCACAGATTTTGTTAGGAATCTACCACTGAATTACTACAAACCGTGTTTTGATATTTTGATCACATCTTTGACTGCGCGTCACTCGGGGAGGTTCAGAGGCTATACAGCAGAACTCAGAAACTAGTCAGATTCGCGTTAGTTGGCACCGCCTAGTTGTTCCCTGCGTTCAGACCAAGATTATTGGATTTCGGCTGTTACAGGGAGCATTGACCCGTTGCCGACATGTATTCGATCGAATCTACCGTCTAGCGCTTCAGATCTTGCACTAGGTGAAGGAGTATTCCTCATTAGTTTCGACTCTAGCATGCTAAGTAAGCCCTTGACCATAATAAAATATCTCTATTCGGATTTAGCCAGACACATCCGTCAGTAATTTGGTTTACCGTGGATCGAATACCGGGATGAGAAATGCCATGTATCTTGGAGAAGATCGGCTGTCCCACTGTCTGAGGCTCAAAGATCCTCAGATACGTCACAAGTGAAGGAAGAGAGTGATTAGCGTTTCTTCCCGAAGATGTAATGAAGTGTTTATGTCACACCAAGTTCCTTTAGATTTTCGTGGATTCCCTGCAACTGCTGCATCTGTGAAGTCAATATGGGCACTTTCCAACACGTCTACTTGAATAGGCACTGCATCCCTGACTACTCATGTGGTGGCGAAAGGCAGAGAACAAGATTAAAGAGTCGGTCGGCGACCGCTCCCGGAGATGGATTCCCCAGCCAGGAAGGATGGTGTGAACTTCATCGTCTTCAGGACTGAATGGCGAAAGCTAGTACAGTTACTAGGGTAGGTATCATTGCTGACCTGCAAGCCATACCAGAGATAAAGGGAATCCTGCTAACCAACTTCGCCCAGCCAGCATCTCACTTTGGAAGAGTGGTAGCCGTGTAGTTGACAGCCTTCGTCACACTTCACGTGGATTGCGAAACCCACTGTATCTCGCCTCCATAGGATATGAAACAACCTACTCCGGTAAGACAGGCTGTGAGCTAGCAGGTTAGGTACGCTGGGGAGTCTACCAACATCTCATTTTCCCGCCATTATCCTCCTGAATAGGCCTCTCCACTACAAAATTTTACTACTAGACGGAAAGCTAACTCTTGGGTTGACATCTACCAACCAGCGGAAACAACATGAAGGTTTAATGTCAGGCAACTAAACCCCCAGTTTCCGTAAACACCTGAATCGTGGAATATACTTTAAATATGAGTTGTCAACCAAGCGCTAGGATAGCGACTGGAAATACCATGGCCATCATAACCACCTGCAGTCCACCTACCCATCTGAGGACGAGTAAATATATGCCGTCGGCTGGACATTTGGCTACCAGCGGAAAGCACCTGTCACTGGTTACGTGATGAGGTATTCCAATACCCCAAGAGAGTCATAGTTGCCCTTAGGTGCCGCGGGTGTGCTGACGAATAGTAAGTCGCCTGCTCATGAGTGACAAAAGGTAAAAAGCGAAGTGCCTGGTCCCTAAATCTTTAGATGTCTCGGGGTGCATTTATCAGGCAAGACAGCACACAGATAAATACAAGTAATTCAATGGTAGCAGCGACTGCAATTCTAGGAACATCATTGAGTTCTGCTGGAGTGTGTTAACAAACCCATACAAAGTCAACTTTCGAGGAGTCATTTGCTTTCGTCGTGGGGTTCACAAAATCGCGTACGTGAGAGATAGCATATATGTCAACAAACGTGTGGCCATCCAACGCCTCACAATCACCATAAGATATTGCTTTACATGGTGTCTTTTGGAGAACCATGAACGGAGGTTATGATCATGGGCTCTTGGAAAGACGTTTAACCCCCAAATTATGAAGCCTACTAAATTCTTGCGCTGCTATTGGCAGTCTTTAGATGCCTAGGCCTCTAGATTTTTATGAAGCTGGCGGGGGCGTTTGGCAACGATCTAGTGCGTCATTGGATGCTTCAGCAAGGGCTTTGTGTAATTCCTTTAAGTGAGCTCAGAAAATTCATGCAGAAGGGCAATTTGGATAGGAGTGTTAGTTAGTGGAGCTACTGCGAAGCTTGTCACTTCGTTGTCAAATATAACTCCGGGGAGAGAATATTCTCAGTCGCGGTGACCAGCCTGTAGCAAGCAGTCGACTGACGGCTAGTAGTTCTGAGACCAATCTATGCAGATGATGGGATACCAGTTATCATCAGTGATACATTCTCACTGGAATGGCATGGGAAGACTGAGGTGTGGAGTCGTAACCCTGGTTTCATACGTGTCAGTAGCCGACCTTTGT